GTAAGGAGGATTTCATACTGAAGAAATGATCAAATGTCGGTTAAAACTAAAATTTCTGAGGAGCATTCATGATCAGGGTGTCTAATAGAATATATTCCCAGGGCCTGACACTATTTCTGACAAATGTTTGTTCATTATATATTTGTTGAATACATAACAAGAAGTGACACTTTTTTTTTTTTTTTTGCGGTACGCGGGCCTCTCACTGTTGTGGCCTCTCCCGTTGCGGAGCACAGGCTCCGGACGCGCAGGCTCGGCGGCCACGGCTCACGGGCCCAGCCGCTCCGCGGCATGTGGGATCCTCCCAGACCGGGGCACGAACCCGCGTCCCCTGCATCGGCAGGCGGACTCTCAACCACTGCCCCACCAGGGAAGCCCCCAAGAAGTGACACTTTTAAGTGATTTTATTTTTTTGGCTCTAAGGAGAAATTTCCTAAAATTGTAAAAAAATGGTTACAGTTTTTTGAATGGTTGAAATAAGAGCATAATGTTTCTGGGTGACTCATATTTGAGTGTTCGAATTTTGGTGTATATTTCTAAAACTTCATATTACTTCACAGTCAAATATTCCACTTTAAGTTAGGTGAAAGTAGTCTGTTATCTCCTTTTTTTTTAATTTTTTTAACGTCTTTATTGGAGTATAATTGCTTTACAATGGTGTGTTAGTTTCTGCTGTATAACAAAGTGAATCAGCTATACATATACATATAACCGCATATCTCCTCCCTCTTGCGTCTCCCTCCCACCCTCCCTATCCCACCCCTCTAGGTGGTCACAAAGCACCGAGCTGATCTCCCTGTGCTATGTGGCAGCTTCCCACTAGCTATCTATTGTACATTTATATCAGTCGTCCAGTGAAATTCCACTGATGCACTAAAATCTCTTTGTGATTTTCCTCATTATATGAAGTTAATGATTCTTGGGATTACACTCAATTGCTTCAGCTCTTCAGAAGTATAGTCAATATTTTATTTATCATTACAAATTGTGGCATACAGGCCTAGGTAGCCAAAACAGTTTAAACTACAAATGCCATAGATAGATAGATAGATGATAGATAGATAGATAGATAGATAGATAAATGGATGTATGTTCCTTTTTATTAGTCTTAGGGCTACATCAAGATAGTATGCAAGGTAGAACTAAATGTATCCACTTAATAAACTGCAATAAAAGGAGTTTTGCAGGAAGAATTGGAACGTATTCACGTTCTGTAGGGCCTTGCCAAGTATACACATTCAAATTCCAATGATTGTGGAATTTAACTCTTACATAAACTATCTAAAACCCAATTTCTGTAATAAAATCAAAGTATTAATTCATTTACTTTTTAAAAAAGCTTTTTTATATAGCTGGATGGATTTTTTTTTTTTTTTGCCTAACTGCACTAAATATGCATTATTTAACAAAAAGGAAATGCTAGCAGTAAAAGCAATCCTAAATAATCTACCAAGACGTTCTCATAGAGTAGCAGTACCATTAAGCATTGGAAAAATAAGCTTTATATTTAATTATGACTAAATTAGAGTCCTTAAAATTTTTGATTTCACTCATATAATGTAATGATTCAGTTTTCTTTTTAAAGATGTTTCATGGCCTGGTAGGATTAGAGAGGGTTCTACTGGTCTAGTCCAACCCTTCATATTTACTAATGAGGACACAGGGTCCAGATAGCAGAAGTGAGATCTAAAAGTAGCTGATAGACAGCAGAGCCAGGAACACGAAGTGCTGTGATCTTTGAAGCAGTCTGTACATCTGGAACGAGTTTAACCTTGAAGATTTGTTGGGTGGTATTTCTTGGTATAATTACAGTAATTTTTAACTTGAAAATCTTTAGAAACATTTTTTTATTCCAAGAAGCCAAATCCAGTGTGCTAATAAGGCTTTGCATTCCCCTTGTTTGCCCAGGTATTTCAATAATAGCAACAACTAATACTTGTATAGCACTTTTCAATGTTATAAAACATTTTTATATTTTATATCTCACTTAACTCTTATAACATTGTCAGGTAAGAAAATACAAGTCTCACTCTACAGATGAAGAAACCAGAGCTGAAGGAAATTTAATAATTTGTGCAAATCACGTAAATATATGGCAGAGCCAGATCTGAAGACAGGCCTTCTGACTCCAGAGAGCCCATATTCTTTCTTTCCACTCTGTCCAGCTTTACATAGCTAGGAGTTGCTGCAAGTTGATTAAGAATTCTTTTAGTCAGATTGTTGTCGCGTCATGTCGCTATTTAAAGGAGGTCTCTGGTTAGCCCTTTTGTCATGTGAATAACAATGTGTTCAATTAATGATGGCTGCCATGTATTGAAAACCTGCTACGGGCCAGGCAGTATGGCAGGTGCTTATTAGCCCTGATTCTGACTCTCAGGACCAATGAGGTACTGCCACTCTCCCCACTTTAGAAGTGAAGTTCGGCTACTTATCCAGCAAGTAATTTACCCGAGCTTAAAACGCTAGTCTGCAAGATCCTTTTTGACCCACCTCCTAGAGAAATGGAAATAAAAACAAAAATAAACAAATGGGACCTAATGAAACTTCAAAGCTTTTGCACAGCAAAGGAAACCATAAACAAGACCAAAAGATAACCCTCAGAATGGGAGAAAATATTTGCAAATGAAGCAACTGACAAAGGATTAATTTCCAAAATTTACAAGCAGCTCATGCAGCTCAATAACAAAAAAGCAAACAACCCAATCCAAAAATGGGCAGAAGACCTAAATAGACATTTCTCCAAAGAAGATATACAGACTGCCAACAGACACATGAAAGAATGCTCAACATCATTAATCATTAGAGAAATGCCAATCAAAACTACAATGAGATATCATCTCACACCAGTCAGAATGGCCATCATCAAAATATCTAGAAACAGTAAATGCTGGAGAGGGTGTGGAGAAAAGGGAACACTTCTGCGCTGCAGGTGGGAATGTGAATTGGTTCAGCCACTATGGAGAACAGTATGGAGGTTCCTTAAAAAACTAAAAATAGAACTACCCTGTGACCCAGCAATCCCACTACTGGGCATATACCCTGAGAAAACCATAATTCAAAAAGAGTTATGTACCAAAAAGAATGTTCGTTGCAGCTCTGTTTACAATAGCCCGGAGATGGAAACAACCTAAGTGCCCATCATCGGATGAATGGATGAAGAAGATGTGGCACATATATACAATGGAATATTACTCAGCCATAAAAAGAAACGAAATTGAGCTATTTGTAATGAGGTGGATAGACCTAGAGTCTGTCATACAGAGTGAAGTAAGTCAGAAAGAGAAAGACAAATACCGTATGCTAACACGTATATATGGAATTTAAGGGAAAAAAATGTCATGAAGAACCTAGGGGTAAGACAGGAATAAAGACACAGACCTACTGGAGAACGGACTTGAGGATATGGGGAGGGGGAAGGGTGAGCTGTGACAAAGCGAGAGAGAGGCATGGACATATATACACTACCAAACGTAAGGTAGATAGCTAGTGGAAAGCAGCCGCATAGCACAGGGATATCAGCTCAGTGCTTTGTGACCGCCTGGAGGGGTGGGATAGGGAAGGGGAGAGGGAGGGAGACGCAGGAGGGAAGAGATATGGGAACATATGTATATGTATAACTGATTCACTTTGTTATAAAGCAGAAACTAACACACCATTGTAAAGCAATTATACCCCAATAAAGATGTTAAAAAAAAAAAAAAAAAAAAAAAAACTCTAGTCCGTTTGCTTTCAAAGCTTCAACTTTTCAGCTGCACCCAAGATTCAGGTTTCCTTAAAGACAAACATACACGTATGCTTAGAGCAGTATCACTCTTCATCTGCTACTTTTGAACAGCACATGTGGGTGTTCATAGTACATATCCAGATTTCCATTTATTGGCCCAGTAATTGAGGAAATACTACTATTGGTTCAGAAGCTCATGAAATAAAAAAGAAGACAGGGAAGACAAATCAGTAGCTGTATATGCCAATATGATAATTGCTAGATGGCAAGGTGAGTTTTTTTCTTTGTAATAATATTAACTACTAATGGACAGTTTTTTGAAATTGAGATGTAATTGATATATAACCTTAGTTATATTAGTTTCAGATGTCTAATGGACACTTAACAAAATTAATATTTTCCATCTGACCCACACACCTTAAATGGAAATATTTAGGAAGTATATTCAAGCTAATGACATTATATTGTCTTCTGAATCTTTATCTTCCATAATTACTGTTAGATTTAGTATATTTTTAACAAATGTAATTTTATTCTACTTTTGTTTTTTATTAATATCATTTTTGCCTTTTTAATATTTTTTAAAAGACTCTTTGAAGCTATTACTTATCAAAACTGAACAAGACTTCTCTTCAGGCCCCACTCTTTATATGAGACTATTTTGAGGGTTGTTTTCACTGAGGTGATTTTTTATTTGCCACAGGTATGCAGGACGGTATGGGCAAGGAAAGGCCTACCCAGCACCTGTAGCTGAGTAGCAGGTCCTCCACTAGCTCCATGTCTCCTTGCAGGAGGAGAGACGGGGGCTCCAACCTTCCCAAGTCCTGATGTGCAGAGAAATCAGAGGGATCCCTCAAGTGGAAGTTTGCTCAAGTTCTGAAGTCCTGCCTGGTTCCAGGGACCAGGCCCTCCTGGCTTCCAGCCGGACACTCTAGTGCCCTCCTTAGTTTCAGCTGGAGGTCTTGCCGCAAACAAGGTCTAGGCCGTCAGGCATTTGACAAGAGGGTAGATTAAGATTCCCATTGAGGTTTAAAGTGTAAAGATGAGTTTCTAAGCGAGTCCGAAGAGTGTATGCAGTTCACATCCCATAGTTTTGTGTGGTACGTTATCTTAAGGAGTTCAGTATCCTCAAGTGAAAGTTTTAAAGACATCATGGGCTGGACTTCGATGTTAATTAAGAAGACACAGTTATCAAATAGTGTCCTACGTCTGGAGGCATTATTTTAGCTGTTGCATATCCCTTTTTGACAATTTATTCTTATCTTTTTTTATCTAGGTCGAACTGGAAGGTACACTCTTATAGAAAAATGGAGAGATACTGAAAGACACTTAGCACCTCATGAAAATCCTATTATATCCTTAAACAAATGGGGGCAGTATGCTAGTGACGTACAGCTGATTTTACGTCGAACGGGGCCGTCTCTCAGTGAGCGGCCCACATCGGATGGTGTGGCTCGAGTTCCTGAAAGAACTTTATGCAGGCAGAGTTTGCCCCCCTTAGCTAAACTGAGGCCTCAGATTGACAAAGCAATCAAAAGGAGAGAGCCTAAAAGGAAATCATTAACATTTACAGGAGGTGCCAAAGGGTTAATGGACATTTTTGGAAAAGGTAAAGACACTGAATTTAAGCAAAAGGTGCTGAATAACTGCAAAACAACAGCAGATGAGTTAAAGAAGCTGATCCGTTTGCAGACAGAGAAGCTCCAATCCATTGAGAAGGAGCTGGAATCAAATGAAATAGAAATACGATTTTGGGAGCAAAAGTACAGTTCTAACCTTGAAGAAGAAATTGTCCGCCTGGAGCAGAAGATCAAAAGAAACGATGTAGAAATCGAAGAGGAGGAATTCTGGGAAAACGAATTACAGATTGAACAGGAAAATGAAAAACAGCTGAAAGATCAACTTCAGGAAATCAGACAGAAAATAACAGAATGTGAGAGCAAATTAAAGGACTATATGGGTCAAATCCAGACTATGGAAAGTGGTCTTGAAGCGGAAAAATTGCAACGGGAAGTTCAGGAGGCACAGGTCAATGAAGAAGAGGTTAAAGGGAAGATCGGTAAGGTCAGAGGGGAGATTGACATTCAAGGCCAGCAGAGCCTGAGGCTGGAAAATGGTATTAAAGCCGTGGAAAGGTCTCTTGGACAAGCCACCAAACGATTGCAGGTAAGGACACTTTTATTAGAATGTTTCATCTATCTAAAAGAATTAAATATTTGGAATCTAAAACACTGAACTCCTCTTTTTCTTTCCTCTTGGAAGCTTCCTAAACTCTGTGTTTCTCCAAATCACTGTAGGTTTGCTCTTGATTTTCCAAAATGATAATGCCTTTATTTTCATCACTGGTCACGGAAAAGAATCTGAAAATAGAAAAAATGTTCAATAAAACACAGAAAGTTGACTGTAAATATATATACAGAAAAAAGAATTAAATATATTTTGGCATCTTCTTTACTGATTGTTCATTTTCTCTTACATTTAAAGTTAGAAACTTACTTTGTTTTATCATTTTCTTAGAATTTCTGTGACTTACGACAAAGCTAAGGTAGGAGGCCAAAACAAAGACGAGAGCTGAAGCCACACAGATCCTTTTCCATGGAAGAAGCTTTCTTACTGTGGCAGTGATAGCATTAGGTAATCAGATACAGGAGATGAGAATCTCAGAGCTGGAATGGACACTAATGATGGGATAGTGAATCTGACCCTTCTCCTTTTAGCGATAGGGAAACAAGAGCTGAAAGAGATTACCGAGGATTGGTTCACCAGTGATTGTGCGGCTAGCTAGCTGCTTCTCTCTCACGTCTCCTTTGTTGCTAACCCCACCTCCTCCCCTCTCCCGTAACTGTCCTTTGCTTCCCTGAGGAGAGGGGCAGGTTCCTCTTTGATTTTTCCCCATCTCTAGTGGGTACGAGAACATTTCTATTTCACACTTACTCCATGACCACTCAGCTTGTATTTCTTGGATACCCATTCTTGAAAAGACAGTGTGGTAATGTTAATGGGAGTTGCAAAGAGCTATCAGTTTCTAACAGCTGAAATGAGAAAGAGACACAGTTGATTATAATACAGCTACTTATATTTAAATAAATTAAAGTTAAATAATATTCAATAAAGCTGTTTAAAAATATTAAATACATTTAAATTTCTGTTTTAGTCACATTTGGCCACATTTCAAGTGCTCAGTAGCACATATGTGCAGTGGCTGCTGAACTGGACAGTGCCGGTCTAGAAGCTGTGTGATCCTGGATCAGAGAGTGAACCGTGAAGCTTACTGGTTAGAAATTGAGAGTGTATGTAGTAACAGCATCTCCAAATAGTGCCTGTGCGCACTGGAGTTTGAGAAGAGCTGCTGTAGGGTAGGTACAGTTCCACAAGCAGAGAAAGCTGACGTTTCAGGAAGAACTGATGTGATTTCCTTTCTCTGCCACTAACTACAGTGAGAGGTAGAGCTACCACCAAAATTTGCAGTCAGGAATTTCTCATATAATAGAAGGTTGTTAACTTATGATTTGTCAGCATTTTACTATTTGGATTCATTTCAACACAAAACGAGCGCAGTTGGAAATTATATTGCCTTGATGTTACAGGAAACACTAATTTGTGACAGTTGTTACTAATAAACCCCACTACCTGTGAAAAGTATCTAATAGTCAAACTACTAACGTATCTCCAAGTACCCCCTACACTCAAAGTAGCGAAAAACCCCGCCTTTCTGTTTTCTCTCCCCTATACCCTTACCACGTCCTCTGACACAACCAGCTTGGATGCGGCCTTGCCACTTTTTCTTATAGTGCCCTAAAGGAGAGAAAGAGAAGGAAGTCCATTTGATAACAGAATGCCTCTCCTTGCTTTTGGAGCTTTCTGGCTGTCGAAACTTGGTCTCCTTACTTTAGCGCTCTTCAGTTCTCAGATCTGCTCATCAAGGATTAAAAAACCCCATACTGGGAATCTTGCTCTCCTTGCTTTCCTTGCTATGATATAAATCTCAATAATGGGTCCCATGAAAACTTAAACAGTTTAAAACAAACAAGAACCCTGAATCGCATGGACCCAAGTGACTATTAATTTTGCAGTCAGTTATGAAGTAGATAATAAGGAAGTTTAACTGTGAACAGCTTAGCAAGCTTGTTGTAAACACCAGGATGGATGGAATCCAGTGTTTTATTCTTGGAAGTTTATAGACATATATTTATTTCATCAGGTGCATAGTATACTCCTAACGGAGGAAAGCATGACATTTAAGAGGACAGACTGAAGAAGTCGTTGTCCTTTATTTGCTTAACTTTTGGCCCATGCCACAGAGTGAAAGTGACCTCCTTAGCCCATTACATCGATATAAACCAGATTTGTTAAATGCATTCTCGTGAAAGGTGTCCCACATTCAACCCTTGTAGCAGGTGGGCTGTCACCAGGATGTCTGTAGCTGGCCAATAGTGAATCCTCAAATTTTAGAAAGCATTTAACTCCCATCTAGGACAAAGAACAAGAATTGGAGCAGCTGACCAAGGAGCTGCGGCAAGTCAACCTCCAGCAGTTTATCCAGCAGACAGGGACGAAAGTCACCGTTTTGCCAGCAGAGCCCATCGAAGTGGAGGCCTCACATGCAGACCTAGAACGGGGTAAGATTTGAGAAGTCGCTTTTTAAAAAACTTGACTCTCTTCACTTGGAATAAACTGTTTACATTCGGTTAAAATGTTCTCCTGCCATTCAAAGCTAATTCTTGGGCCGCTTAAAAAAATTTTTGACGTACTTATTGTTTCTGGGGAAAATCAATAACAGTTAGGTTATTTATTTACTTAGATGACCAGATAGCCTATCATTAGTTTTAAACTGCTTCCTTAAAAACTTTTCCTGAAATGTGTGTGAGTCGTAGTCTATTAATTGAGTTTATTAATTGAGTTTTAGCTTCTCTCTGTTCCTAATGCCCCTTCTTCCTCTCCTAAAAATCTTTGTTATTAATTTGTGCTGATATTTAAAAGACCCTTCTAAATCTGTATATGCATATAATCCGAACAACCCAGAAAGAGAAGCAAAATGTTCACCTTTTAAGAAGAGATCATGAACTGTTGAAATCACTGAAAACTATTTGATCAACTGAGAGGGTCAAGCAGACGTAACCTCTCCTCTCACCCAGGACTCACAGGGGGTTGCAATCGTTACTGTATAGTATTTGGTTCTTGAGAGCAGGAAAAGTTCTAATTTTTCATATTGCTAAGTACTCCAGGTTCCTGCAAACATCAAATGACTTTCTCTGTTTCCTGTTTAGAGGCACCATTCCAGTCGGGGTCTCTGAAGCGACCTGGTTCCTCTCGGCAGCTCCCCAGTAATCTTCGTATTCTACAGAATCCTATCTCGTCTGGTTTTAATCCTGAAGGCATATATGTATAACATTATCTGTCTTTAGGGGAGAGACCCAGTAAAGGTACCAAGGACAGTGAAAATTCCTTCCTTGATTTTGTGCCAATGATGAACAGAGGATATATTTCACAAGCCACCGTATCTTTTTTCTGTCCTAAATTGCATACCACTTGGAGCCATACCCTGTGCACTGATGCTAAAGAACAAAGAAACTGTGTTTTCACACATCCACAGTGTTGATGTTTTTGTCCAGCAGCTGTAATGCAAAGCCTTCATTTTTATCTGTAGCATTTCGAGAGCATTAGGAAAGTATTATACTGTGTGTATACATAAATAAAACAGTGACTTCAGAATGAAGAGAAATATGTGACTGGCTTAGTTTATTTATTCCATGTAATCAATTAAGGAGTGAATGTTGATGTTTTAATATTTTTTATTAATACTTATCCTGTGACTGAGTTACATTGCATATGGTGTGACGATGACTTTGTGTGCATGTTGCCAGACTCCATGCGTTGCTGAATTACAGCTACACAAGTGTCATAGGGGGCTCTGCCATGGAAACTGACTCCAGAAGAACTGACTTGCATTTACCTTGTGAACCCATCCTAGCTGCTGCTTAATTAGGTGAGATAATTCAGGTTTTCTTTTTCATCTGGTGTTTAATCTTCTCTTTACAGTATTTCCAGCATATGAATGAACCACATATAAGAGCAGAAATATTTTCATGAAGTAAGTTACATGTTTAAAAGGTTTGCAGTGCTTCAGACACTTTTGAACAAAAATGTAATGGTTGAATATGTATCCAGACAGGCATGGGGTTTCCTGATACATTATGCGTTTTGTTTCTGCCCGGCCTTATTATTTTCGTCTCATGGGTCCTCAGAGTTGCCATCATACATAAATTAGAAATGTCTTAAAAAAAAAAGAAAGAGAGATGTCCAAGGATATCTTCAGGAAGGTTGCTTTAAGTGATATTTTTTTTTATTTTAAAATAACCCACTTTATATGTGTGGTCTATTGGTGTAAGCACCCGTGGATAAGTTATTGCTTGCACATAATTTACTGTGTACATTATGAACTATTGCAATTTTCCCAGTCACTTAAATAGAAAGTAGATTGGAGTTAGTTACTTTTTACCAAGGAAATAAAGTTAAATTCAGTGTTTGTTTTTATTAATTTTCAGCTTGACCTTTGCAGGACATTAATCTCCATTTGTACATATATTTTCTTGTTTATAAAAAACCAAAAATGAGTCAACACCCCTCCCATGAGTACTGACTTAACTAAGATGCACAAGAGTATCTAGATGGATGTGGTCAGATACTTCTTAGCCATTTTTACATTCCCTCTGATCAGAATTTGGTACAATATAATTAAGACTTTAATCTAAAATTTAAAGTAGTTTTTTATTCTGAGGAAAACATATTGTCTGTATTATTTACATGCAACAAAATAAAAGTGGATTAGTATATTAACGCCATGGTAACAATAAAAAGGTGTAAGTTATATCCTATGCATGAGGGCAATTTTTGATGTTTTAAACGCATTTGACTTATTTTTGGTTTAATGAATGCTGAGAATGCTGCTATATTTAGGTTTCCAATGAAACTTTTTAAGAATGGCTATGACTATATATAGAAGCTTCTAGAGGACTGAAAGTAATAATGCATAGTTGCCTTTTCTAGTCCAGCTAAATGGAAGACCTCAACTAAAAATATTTTCTTTGGGTTCTTGGAGTTATCGAGTTGACCTTGCCATTATATTGTTTTGCAAAAAAAAACTTGAGAAATAAACGATTCTTATCTAATAGCCACAATCTATACACATTTGCTCTCAGCTTATAATAGTTATTTCATATCCATATATATTTAAAAATTAGAATTAAAAAATCAAAATAATTTGTAGATTTTGTGACAATAATGGTTTATGTATGCCTGATATATGCCTTATTTTTAAAGGGTTCCATTCTATACTGGGTCATTTTGTTATTGTTGTTCAGAGAAATTGAGACCTTATTCACAAAGAAAAACATTTTTATAAGTTGATCACATTCTATTTAAATCAAAATGCTAAACCTAGGTATATTAGACTTCGCAATTTTTAATTGCAACGATGCCTGGGCATGCCATGAAAAACACAAAGTATCCAACTTAATTGTTGTAAATTATTATCAGCATCAACCTAATAACTTTAAAGAAAGACTGGTAGTAGGATTCTGACAACTTCATCTGAATTTTCAAGCTGCCAAATAATCTTCACAGACCTAACTACAGATAGAAATACTATTTCCCGGATGAGAAGAGTATATAAACGTGAATTTGATTAATACAATGAGCAGCTGTACTTTTTAAGCAGTTATATTATCAACACTTCTGGAAGCACATCTCTAAGAAATATTTTCTAAGTATTTTTTTTAAATAGAGGAAAGAAAACTCATTTCCCTAGAACATCTTAAAAATATCTTAGTCTATTTCTGATTATTTTTATCTATTGTGAATACAAATGAGTTAGATTAAGTGCCACATCTTTGGATACATTTCAGAGGGGAAGTGGGCAATGGTACGCAAAAATACCAAATAGAAAATTTTGCATCTGGGAGCATATTCACGTTCTGAATACTAAATTAGATGGTAAGTTTTTAAAATTATTATTACACTGAAAGTTGTTTTATTGTGATTTTCTACAAGTATCAAATACATTAGAAGATTTTTTTTTCTTACCAGGGAATAATTTGAAATAGTATTGGTATATTTGACCCTTTTGAGTGTTTGTCATCCTCAGCGAATGATCCGTAGTGGCTTGCCTCAATCCTTTTGTTGTTCTTATGAGATATTTTTGTTTGTTAGCTTTTTTTCCTTTTTTTTTTCTCCTGATGCACAGGGTATTTATATGTGAGACTTCAGTTGGTGTTAATAGGAGTTACCCGTTTAAATCCCTCAGCCATCACTGAGCTAGTCATCAATTTCTGTAGTTCAAATTAATCAAACTGGAGCTCAAACAAGGCTAATACAGTAAAAATGTAAAAGTTACGGTGTGAAATGTGAACTTTAACAATGTTTAAGAAGAACAAAGAAGCACTTGCTTCCAGAACATAAATACATTTTGCACCTGCGTTAAAAGAAAATTTTCTTTGTGAATAAGAGCAAAGTGGCCTTTAGAGAAAAGAAACTTCATTTAAAACCGTTTCTGTGAACATCTTTCCAAGTTACAACTATAATAATGGATTGAGGAGACAATATGGAAAAGGCAGAAACTCTTGATTTCAGGTGCGCAAAGGGCATGGGCAGATGGACGGTTCCTTGTGTGCATTGCCTTTGAAAAATTGGGCCTTAACTTATATGTAAATAAGGATGCTGTGTTCACATCCCTCTTCTACCTAAAGCTGTCTTTATTAGTCCATATTGTATTAAATTTAGCTCATAAGTATTACTTTTATATTATGTCAGTTTTTTTAAGTTGCATGTTTATACTGTTTGCTACAGTATTTTTCAGTTTTGGTTTAAGACCATCAGCTGTATGGAGAAGACAGAACAATCCCTATTTATTCAGTATTGCTGCTTTACATTTCCAGAGTAAGCTTTTGATGCCAGGACAGTGACTGCTTGAAAGCTGCAGGAGCTCTATCCCAGTGCATTTTGTATATTTTTAGAAACCAAATAAATGCAGATAACTATTTAGTATACTAATTATATTAAACCAGCAGAAATATAAAGGCAATAAAGTATATACATATATATATGGGGGGAGGGAAAAGATTAAAAATAGGTTTACAGCCAGACATGGTGATAGCCCTAAATGTATTTCTCAATCTGTCTTTCTTTATTGACCCGAAGAGGATTTGAGTTGCTGCAGCTTTAAACAGAAAAATGCCATGTTCACTAACTGTGGACACATAAATATGCTTTTAGTACTGCTTTGCTTATGTACAAGTGAAATATCTGTAATCTGTATTATATGTAATTGTTCTTTTCTTTTGACTTTCATTTCAAAATGTATATTTTCTGATTATTATCATGAGCTGTAAAACAAAGGATCAGTATCTGATATTCTCCCAAATAATAAATTTTCAGGATTCACTGGGGCATTACAATTGCTGGTTTGTTTCTTACGTATGTAATACTTTAAACTGTAATTTTATTTCCTTTAAAAGATGCCCTAGAGAAAAGGTCTGCATTATCAGTGACACAGAATTACATTTTTCTAAAAGTAATGTTAATTATAAGTAAAGAATTATCTTTTGCTGCCAAGGCAGCTGCTTCATCGGAGTGACACTGAATTAAGAAACTAATATGCCTCCCTTTTATTTCAAAAGTAAAAGAAAAAATTATTTAGTATTGAAGCGCTGTATTCCCAGATCTCTTAAAAACCACAAATGAGAGGAAGAGCAGGAACAATTCAGTCCTTCCCACCTGCCGGGCACAACAGGAGGTGCATTCTTCCATCCAGGAACTTCTCCCAAATCACATAACTGATAAGTAGCTCTTAGGGTTCTTGAATGTAGTCCTTTCGGATACCAAGGTACTGTCCTGTATTCCACAATAAAGCTGCATAATAAGCTTTACAATGCCCAGCTTCTACATTTTAACCACTTTTCAATGTGGAAGTATATAAATTATCTTTGGGGTTTTTTCGTTTGTTTGTTTGTTTGTTTTGCGGTACGCGGGCCTCTCACTGTCGTGGCCTCTCCCGTTGCGGAACACAGGCTCCGGACGCGCAGGCTCAGCGGCCATGGCTCGCGGGCCCAGCCGCTCTGCGGCATGTGGGATCTTCCCGGACCGGGGCACGAACCCGCGTCCCCTGCATCGCCAGGCGGACTCTCAACCACTGCACCACCAGGGAAGCCCTATCTTTGTATTTTTTACCAGTAGAAGTTAGATCTTGTTCATGAAATTATACATAGGAATAATAGGATGTTATAGAAGCGAAGAGAAAATGAGAAACATTAACTCAAAATGTAAATTATTCTATGTCCTAGTTTGGACTTTTAGAATTTTAATTTCCATCCTGTCTTCCTCACCTGCTGCCCATTCCATGTGTTTGTGCTTGCCTCCCTGAAGAAAGACCAGCGGAGTTCTATAAAATGGGCATAAACACGCTGGGCACATTCATGCTTTCTGCAGACGTTCAGAGAGCCTCTGCTGTTGGCCAGACACTGGACTGAAGTTAATATGATTTGTTCTGCACCTCAGGGAGGTTTACAGTCTAGTGACCAACATTAAAGGAGGGCTTCACCCCAGCACGGGGTGTTGGCAAGCCCTGGAGAAGGGGATATAAACTGGAGAGGGCTGCCGGCACAGACAAGAAGATAGAAAGATGAAGAGGCTGGGAGGGCTAAAAGAGAAGGTAGGCATCGATCATGA